TCTACTTATGTATTTCTAACAAGTAATTCCTACTTAGGAAAGTGTATCTGGAGTTACACTTGATTATTCTAGAGAAAGTCAGCTCCTAATGTTGCTCATCTTTAAAATTAATAAGCTGTTTATACAGGAAGACACCATTAATATGTACAACTGTGATTTAACTGTGTCTTGAACCTGGTGTACAGTCTGCTTTTGTGTTCTTTCTGTTACCCAAACGTGGTGTAACTGAACTGTTGTTAGATGCATATTCTTCACAAGGAATAGTTAAATAGAGTAAGACATATCAGTCTGGAAAGGATATGTTTCAAAAACACTCTAGTTTTGTAAAAGTACAAGTGCCTCAGAGAATGTTGTTGGAGAAACAATGGCTATTTATTAATTTAATACAAAAACTAGGAGGCATCTCATATTTACGTTTAGTTTGTGATTTTGAAAATTGACCAGACAAATCAATGAAGGAAAACATCCAAGGACAATAAAATACAAAAATACGAAATAATAATAACAGCCAAGGACAATAAAATTATGACAGTTGTGGTTCACAGACCCCTTAACCTCATGGTTCTTGGAAGCTTAGCATAGTAGTACCAAAGGAGCAGAGGTAGTTACCCTGTTCCCTGGTTGGCATCTGACACTGGATGGTGTCAGTGCAAATAATTTTGGCCTTATCTGCTGTAGCCTCTCTGATGTAATGCAGGGAAGAAGTGCTGGAATGTCCTGGATTTTAAATTTGTGCTCGCAAGGTTCTGTGCCATTTAAAAGAGACATGTATATCAGCCTGGATTTAGAGGAGTGGGAGGCTGAAGTAGTACAAGATGTCCAGCTGGGGTTTGAGGACTGTCATGGGAGACATCAGTGGCTGGAGCCTGGAAGTCCTGCTGCTCATACTGGCAGCCAGTACCATTTTTAATTAGTGCTAACTGAGTATATACAGCTGGGCTGCTTTTAATTCCTGAGGGAGCTTGTTGATTGATTTGTACAATAAAATACCTGAGCATTTCCATGTGGAAAACAAATATTATCTGTCAGGTGCAGTTAGTGGAGTTTCTGGTGTCTGGTGTCTAGTTTTAGGCTCATCTCGCAGAAGAGCTGTGCTTCCTGATGTCACTTAAAGTGGGGATAGTTTGTGGGTTTTTTTTTGTTTTTATTTGGTTGGTTTTTGTTTTGGTGGTTTTGTTTGTTTTTTAAAAATGATTTATTTTTAAATTTGAGACACCTCACTTTTTCTTTGTTTCTAAAGGCAGCTGGGCATCCCTGTGGTATCTTGGAGGTAATGAAATCTCTTACTGTTTGTGTCTAAGCAAAGTTCTATTTTCAGCTGCACTGTCAAAATAAATGGCTGTTACGGAGAACTGATGACTTCAATGCTACGTTCAAGTGACTCGAGTGTCATTTGCATTCCACAGTACTTACTGTAATAGAAGAAAAATGCATCACTAACAGTATTTTATAAATTGTCATGAAGTTCCATCCTTGCCAGTTTTTCTTCTTGTGTCCCCTGTGGTAGCATGGCGTGTGAAAAGGCAATGCAGAATTGACGGGTGTGCAACATGAAAGACAGAGAGTTTGTGTAGCCTTGTGTGCAGAATGGCAGTGCCACGGGGTAGAAATGACAGAAGTAAATATAGATGGAAATGCTGTATTTCTTTCCCTTATGATTTGTAAAGTTTTCGTACCTTACATATTTGTCTGCTTATGTAACTATAAGTATAGATTTTCCACATGTTGTTGAAAGCTTTTTTTTTCCCTCTTTTTCCCTAGGAAAATGGGTCATGGCAGAGACTTCAAAAACTTATGAAAATTAACTCTTACTAAGTTTTATGAATCTTTTCTAGGAAGAACAAAAAACCCTTCAGTTATTTGCTGTGATAATAAGGAAGATTTTTTTTTTTTTGCAAAAAGACTTTATAACTTTTTTCTAATCAGTAACATTGTCTTTATTTTACTAGTTATTGGACAGCCTGCAAAGAGTAAGCATCCAAAAGAGCATGGGGAAAACAAGGTTTTTAGCAAAAAAGTAAAACCTAAACCTCCCAAAATGAAGGAGAGAGAATCTGCTGACTCCTCTTTGAAGTCCCACTCCATACTGACACAGGTGATGGATAAAGGTCGTTTCCAGAAACTGGCTGCCACTTTAACCCTGTCTGCAGGACAAAGCATAGAACTGCGATGTAAGGGGAGTAATGTTCTTTGGAACTACCCTTCATATTTAGACACCTTTAAAGACTCCAGACTCAGGTAAGCTATTTTTCATTTTTTTGAGAAAAAAACCCCAAACATCCAGAACTTTTCTTTTCCCTGCTGCTTTCAGCACCGTCAGAGTTTTTGTTTGTTTACATTTTTACAATTAAGATGTTTTATCTAATGGTTTTTAATGTCAACGAAGAAGGATGAGCAACTTTTAGTTGTCAGCAATTACAGCCCTGTGATTTGCACTGTGGAGCAGTCTTGAGGCACATTAACTGTATTTCCTTCAGATGAATCTATAATAAAGATGGCATTCAGCAGGACACAGGGACAACAGGGAACCAAGTTAGGGTTGGTCCGAAGTAAAACTCTCAAAATGTGTGAGTGTGGATATCAGGTGCTCACTACCAGCCTACTCTGTTGTTCTGCGGAGAGCTGCTCCTGGTAGGCTGTACTGGTTGCTAATGTGGCTTCCACCTGAGACACCAGATTAATTTCCTGAAAAGACTCAAACCCACCCTCCCTTAACTAGCAAAAAATACACCAGTCTCCACACTAAGAAGCAAGTGAGAGGTAGTTTTTTCAGTCAAAGTTGCCTTTGCACGGAAAAGGGAGTTGCAGGGTTTGTGGTGTGGCAGAGTTTAATGCTAAGTATCGTGACCTTGAGTTTAATAAAGCTTTTTATTTCATCTCAAGACATCATAATGAAAACCGCATAAGTAGCTGTCACTGCAGGAAGAGGAACTTAGGACTCTCCCTTTCTCTGCCCCACCAGCTGAGTGCCCTGTTGCACTAAACATCTTTTCTAAAACCCCATATATTTGTGTGCCTTCCCAGTTTTTGAAGATTGTACACATAGGTAAATGTAGATTAAATGTAATAATTTTATTCTGTATTTAAGAGAAGAGGAGCATATAAGGAGCTTAAGGATGTCTTCCACAGGCATTTTTTTGCCTTGAATTGTGTTTGTTTTCACTGGCTGTTTTATGGAGATTTACCTGAGGAGACAGTGAAGCATTGTGAATGATACCCTAAGAAAGAGCTTCAAGGAACTCTTTTTGGATTATTAGATGAGAGACACAGAGTTAAGAGCAAAAGTATCACCCGCTATTGGCCTTTTTATTCCTAAATTAAGTACAAGTCTGTATGTTCTCTGTAAATAACTCAGGTTATCTGAATCTCAGTGATCCATTTCACTTACTTACTGGTGTGATGGTACCTTGAAATCACTCCCAGTTAATTAATTTTTCAGATATATTCTTTTCCTTTCCACTTCTCTTTTCGAAGAGGAGTGTTGAAGAGTGGCAGTTACACGCTTGATCTCTAGCATATCCTCCTGAAATTCATGAGCCAGTTCTTCTCTGTGCATGTATTTGCGTGTCCCTTGACAGCTGTAGAGTTGAAGAACTATCCTGGCTGAGTGCAAGGCTTCTATCACAGTAGCAAACCTGTTCCTGCTGCAGGGTTATCACAGCAGTATCTCTAAAAGGATCTTGTGGCCAATTAAAACCGCTTCTTTTGGCAAGAAATGCTGTTCTGTCTGGATTTATTTCAGTAGGTGGCGTTTGTGAGCCGCAGTACAGACCTGGCCTCGCAGCAAGCCAGAGCTGTACGTGCAAACCGACAGGGAGCGTGTGTGTGCTGGGTGGGTGTCGTTCTCTAATAGGGTTTGAGAGAGACACGCTCTCCGCTGCAAGGTAGAGGCAAGCCCCGGTGCCGAGTAGCCGCAGAGAGCACACAGCACGCAGGCAGTCCTGTAGCAAAGAGAGTTTTTTCAAGTTTCCCCGCAGCTGGGGCTTGGCCGCTCGTCCAGCCAAGGGGAGGAGACGGGAGATTAACACCCATTAGGAACCCAGGGGCCGGAGAGAGACAGGTGGGACAGCCAGCGGGGTCAGGACAGGGGCGGGGGATAGCTCAGTGAGCAGAATGAAGAGGGAGCCGCCCAGGGAAGCCACGAGGGGGTGAGTGAGACAGACTGCACAGCACAGGGGGTTCCCGTGCAATAAATTTGTAGTGCCTGAGTTTAAACTGTGTTTTTCTTCGTTGACTTAGGGAAACTGCATCTGCAGTGGTTTTTCCTCTAAAGATGTTTTTTTCCAAAGCTTGTAGTCTGAGCTGTCTCTCACAGTTCCCAAGTGTATCCTACATTTTGTGCACTTGCAAATAGGTTGGTGGCATGGTTTGGTTCTGTAGACCTCCACATCATGTTATCTGAGTAT